CACCAGTCGTGGCACCTGTTCAAACACCTGCAAACTACACCGTCCCCCGACAGGAAAAATACGCCAAGGTCGCGCAACACTGGAACACTTAACTGTCAGAAGGAGCCGTGTGAAGCACTAATTTTACACTTACCATCTTCTTGGTAATGTCACTGCTGAAGTCAGAGTACATTGTGTCTGCATCCAAATCTGTGTGGTCCAAAAAAATTGGGCCTAAGGGAACTATTCGAGACATGAAGAAACACTTCTTGTCACTACGCCTTGCACGGAACGACTGTCCGCTCCTCAGGCCCTGCCTTCTATTTTACAAGGCCGTGCTGACGTCATGCTACGTTGCCAGTTCGTGGAACTGACGTGATCGGGAAGGGGTTAAAGTTCTCGGCCCTCGGGCTTGCACTGTATTTGGAAGGTAGAACATTATCTAAAAAACTTAAACAAATGGTAAACTTCCTGGACAAAAATCGCCCATTACTCTCATGAAGGGTGACTGCACGAAGTTTTACGGAAAACATATATGCTTCTCGCATCAAGAATTCTAGGGAAAAACTGCCGCTGTACATTGCTTCCGTACATACACTAAACAAACGATACGATTTTGTCGGCTGTCGTCGGAATGAGTCAGTACGGCACTGTGACGGGTATCCACCTGCACTCTTCACTGTGTTCCCGCACGACTGCATGTTTTTGGAGGTTTACTACCACACCGAATTTAAATGGCCCAGATAAAGTGGCGCTAGCTGAATGACTGCCATGTTGGCAATAATTGGTGGTAGGACTTAAAAAGTGCAAGTCATGCATTACAACGTTCCAACAGAGTTTAAAAGAAATCCGCCAGCATATTCAACAAAGACTGAGGAAATACAGCGTTTCTTGGAAGAAAACTAAAGCAGTGTATGTATCGTGATACGGACAAGCGTGCTTGTCTGTAGGCGTGCGGATCAGCCTTATAAGGTCCGTGCCGGACTAACAACATTGTTTTCGGTCAAGCTGAAGGTGATGTGTGCATACGAGTGCTGCCACTTCGATCGCACATTAGCCTGGGGGACGTAGCCGAGCTTCGGGTGAAAGTCCGTGGCCTATATGTAGGTCAGACTCAAAAAGTTATGTTTTGTCAGCACTAAATACAACCAGACTGACTATCTTTATGTCATCGGTTTGTGGCAAAGTGAAAATAATTAGTGCGGAACGCTTGTCATGTGACGTGCAGCACAGTCGCCATGAGAATGGTGGGGGTGAGTGTGGGATGATTACAAAGGCAGTCAGAGCGTCGGTCTGACCAATCACTACCCGAACACACACAAGAGGCAACTGAGTTGCACCCAACCATTCAAAATTCGCACTTCGTGAAGTGCCTAATTTCCCTCTTCCTTTCAGGTTTAGAAATATATATTTTCGTTTTCCCACTTCGGTCTTCTTGACACCAACGTTTCGGAGGAACATAGTGCCATGAAGATGTAGAAAGTATGCTCTTTGAAGCACTGGCGTCACAACCCAGGCCAACACCGGGAAACCTCAAATCTCAATATTTCCCTTTCTTCGTTCATGCTATAGGTCCTGCCCATATGTTGTGAGGAGACGCCACTAACCGATCGATAGTCTGTGTGGTCTGTACTCACCGCAGTTCGGCTAACGACTTCGCCCGTGTCCTGGCTGCTTTCGCTGTCACTGCTGCTGTTGTGGAACAGCATCTTCGTTGTTGCAAGATTCACCTGCGTGACTCAGAACCTCCACTTGCGGGGAAACCCTCTATCTTTCTGATGTCATGCAGCATTTACAAATAATGCGGTGAGCTCACCCCTCGCGTCACGTGGCATGACGTCAGTCCCGTATCGTTCCGAGAAGACGCGAAAGTTTCCGAACCATGTGGAATGACGCATCGGGGTTGCCCGGAAATGGCAAGAGGAATAATAAAACACGTGAGTCATCAGCTTGGCATCTGCGTTCACCTGAGTTTGTTATCGATCGCAAGGAACAAAACCGCGAATACTGACAGACAAGAGCCACTGCTGCTTACACCCTGCATGTTACAGCGGACTGGATAGCGTGTCGCGCCCGACACCTTGATCAGCGAGCAAAATGTTTCATTGCAGAGAAGCTTGATAGGTCAAAGATCTGTTTTTGCACAGTGGTGAATAGAATTCCCATTGTTCCAGATGTGCAAAGTTTAGCTGAAATGTAAAGGTAGATGTCCTCCTCTATGATACCAAACACTATTCAGGGTGTTGGTAATATTCGTCGTCACCCAGCCTCCTACCCAATGGAATGGGGAATGAGTGGCTGGTTTTCTTAAACCTGGGGAGAAATGAGGATGACCATACATTTTGGTAACAAACTCCAGCTGAAGAAAAATTCTTTTGAACTGACATACAGGTCAAATACTGTAACGTAACTCTTGCATGGTTTATGCAATAAGCAGTATCTCATGAGGACTGCTCATATTCAGAGTAATTCAGTGTTGCATAGGTTCAGTAACTTAAGTTTGATCTCTAGTAGAAGTAAAGACTTTAGTCTGTAAGCTTAATGATCTGCACACAGGTCTGAGGACTGAACCCAGGACCCTCTGACTCAGATTCCAGTGTCTTATCCTGAGACCACTGGGTCCCTTGTTTAAATTATGAAAGGGTTTAGCAGCCTTTGTTATTAGATCTGCAGATTTGAACAGTTTATTAGAACATTTGGTGTGGGCTGGCATGCCAGGCCGTCACCCCAATGGGCAATCCCAAGAGTCAATGTCCTCGTCTGTGTGTCTCATCAGAGGATTGAACCAGACACCTCAGGTCGAGTGTTTGCGCGTCACTCGATTTTGTTAGTACTCGCAAGACTCTTGAACATTTCCGCAATTATGCAAATTCTGTCTGAAAAGGGAACATTGACAGTCACAGTAATGCATCTTACGTGAATGTACAATTGTCTTAATGCTGTAAATATTATTTCTGCGGTTGTGGCTAATACCTGACTCTCGTGGTCTTTGCAGCGGTGAAGGGAAGCCCCAGTCCCGAACAGATATTTCTCTATGGCAAGGAGCGACATTCTGCGCAGGTAAGCAGCGTCTTTATATTTCATGACTGATAATTACTCTGGCTTGCCAAAGCTTTGTACAAGAAGAGATCAGTATCAGAAAGGCGATTCTTGTATGAATCTTCTCAGTATTTTATGTAAATGTAGGGTCGGCGTAATAGTCGAGGAGCTTCCTGAATCTTGTTTTTCCCTTGCATGGCAAGACTTCAGTATCATGTCAAGATGCAGAACATCGATGGCTGTCTTCTTATTTGTAGCGTCATGTAGTCTGGTGGAAGTTTACTGATGTTTCAGAGGTCCTTGCCACCTCCAATCAGGAAACTCTTACCGAACTACATGACGCTACAACCCAGAAGGCAGCCACCTTCGTACTCACTGCCACGAAAACCTCAGATCCGACTTCGTAAAACATCATTTAGAATATGCACAGTCATGTGATGTGCTGTATTGATTGATGACCTAATAAAGGATGCGGAGAGAGGGGAGGGGGGAGAAAATTGGAAGAAAACAAAAGCACACCAGTTCATCTGAACTAATAAAGAATCAGTTTATTTCATGGTTCATGTTTTGCCCCGATACCTTCTGCTTTGCTTATTGGTGTCACGGAAGTGACGCTTCTCACGTCCGACTAAAAGTCGTCTAACAAGCACCTTGTATCGGACTGTTCGCCGTCCGCTGCGGCTCTGGTCACTTTCCGCGAACTCGGCCCGGCCGCTGCCTCCGAGCCGTGCCTCTTAGGACGGCTTATGCGCTTTGGTATGACGCTGACTGGCTTTCTCATATCATCAAATAGATCATCAACATTACCCTGGGGGCTGCTGTCCTCCACTTCTTTGGCACTGCCTTCATGCTGGACTGGTTTGTGACTATTCTTGTTTGTTGCAGCTAGAACAGCAAAACAATAGCAACGATATAATGTAAAATAAATAATAATTAAGAAACAAAATCCGCTCTTTTACTAAATATTATTAGGGCGCTTAAATTGAGGACTGCCAGATAGGTGGAGCGTGTAGCGCACTCAAAATGTTAGTTTCAAAACATCTATGGCTGAGACCAGTTAGAAAATCAAATATTATACTGGGAAGGTAACATTAAAATGGATCTTAAATGCAGTCTGCATCCAACATAACTCGTCCTTACTTCATCTGATATACATACAGCAATGGAATAAGATCAGCTGAAACATAGTTAATGTCGTAGATAACACAGAAGAATCTTGGAAGAAAAATTATATATGGACTCAACAGAAA